TAAAATTTTCTGGAGCGATCCCAAAGATGTTACGGGCTGCTTCACGTTTAAGCGTTGGGACTCTTGTAGGTCCTTCATTCCCCTGCTACCATTTCAGCGAAAACTTAAAATAATGAGCTTGCAGGAAAATTTTCAGATTTGTGTTTTATTATCAGTTTTTAGTCATTATGAATTTTAGACTATTTTTAAATAATCAGTTATATAAATTTTTGGAATCGCTTAACTAAGGAGAACTAAATTTAAATGGATTGGAGACTAGCCAAGACACCAGCAAATATGACGTACTGAAGTCTTTCGAAATAACTTAGTTATTTAAAGTACATTCAACTGGATGTTTTTAGAAGCCAAGGTAATGGCTGTTGTTCTCGAACGTGCCCTGATCGCTCAGTTTGAGGACGTGGGCAGAAATTACGAAGAATCGAATCGGACTCAGGTGTTAGGATTTCTGATCGGACATCGTATGGAAGACTCTGTTTTCGTTTTACATCTTGCGACTTGCTCTCAACAAGATATTAATGAGGTTAGTCGTTTTAATTGAAATATGAAGTTTCTATAAATTAAATTCGGCAGGAGCATACAAGGTACGCCTTTATGACTTCTCTAACGAGTTTGAGAGCAGTTGATTGTGGCTTACTGTATATTCTAGAGGTTTGAATCTGCTAATTCTCTTGGGCAAAGTATTCACACAACGTGCTTTGGTGCAACCTGAGGAAGGCAGGTAGCAAATCCTACGGATGATGGTACGGCTGATTTACTCTAGCACATTTCCTCTCCGCTCAGCTGCTCGTTTGTACTGTAGTTCGGTGACTCCTCTCTCCGCATGACTCGTACCGTTTGTTCACCTTTGTTTCTACAGTCGTGAAATAGAAGGATAAAACTCATCATAGTTTCATTAAACATTCATTTTGCAACTTGTTTCCTACACCATTAGACACATATTCAATATAATACAATGCATGAATCTGTATGATACAATGCACAAGGATAACGGTAACCAATAATTAATCATGTTTTCAACTCGAGAAGTTGCATATTGACGTTGGCACTCGAATTTTCGAAGTATCTACAAGAATGGGAACTAACTGTTTTGACAATATACTGAGTTGAATCAGGGTATTTCTTCTTTTGTGGTTGTTGCGGCTGGACCAACTGCTTTGTCTCAATTTCGTTCAGGCTTTTTTCGTTTTGCAGACCACCAGTAAACTTCCTTATAGATGCTCGTAGATACCTATCAAAATTCTCGACGCCATCCTTTCATGGCACTATTCCTTTCTGGCAGGACCTCGTGGATAGTGTCAAAGAATTCCAAAGTAATGGAAAGTCGTGTAGCTGCCTCCGTGACTGACGTTGATTTGGACGGCCGATCAAGGCATTTTCCAAGTAGTCTAAATACTGGCACTTCGATCAGGTAATCGTTCATTTCTAAAACAATCTCAAATGCTCGCTGTACGTGTTGCACTGCTACTAAAGATCGTGCAGTTATCATTCAGATATTTAAGGCGAAGGTAGCATCCGTTCAGTGTCATTGTTGGAGAACATTCGCCTGAACGCTTCGATAGTTGCGTAGGACAAAGTGAAAAAACACTCGCGAAACAGGATATTCGGAAAGCTTCTTTGAAAAGTGTTATTGGCCGCATGTTTAAAATCAGTCAGTATCGATTGGGGTGCCAAACTTTTTTCCAGACGTTTCAAGGCGTCCAAAATTCACAAATAACTAGCAACCGCTTTGTCAGGCAGCAAGGCAAATACTGATGGTATGACGTTGGAGCATTACATTCCGTGTATCATTCCGCATCCGCGGTCGTGCAATAGAATATTCACGCAGCCAGCTGTCTAACTGTACCCTTTCGGCAGTAGCAAAATGCCTAACTGGTTGGATTTAGTAATCCGAAGCGCGATTTGTCTTTCTAACGTCTGACTGTCTGCTTCATCTAATGGGCGAATGGCAATTCTCCAACTACTGTGTGTGACAGTCCTACACAAGCTAAGGCGACAATCTCATGGGTTGAATCATGAGACACTATCGCTCGATCATTCAGTTCTTCGATAACTTTCCCTACTTCTGCACTGCCGTAACCAGCAACGTGGCGGTTGTGTCACTCAATTGACTAAATGACGCACTTATCCAATGTGTGGAAACTGGCACGTTGTTTATATGGTCTGAGTTCGCATTTCCACATTACCTTCTCTTCCGTTTCTTTGTCTTTGATAACCACGTTATCTTCATCTTCTTCATCTTCATCTTCCATCGCCGCTTCTCCTTTCGCGTGGCGGACGCAGACGCGTCAGGCAGTGCTTCCAACGTTCCCGATCCTGTGCCAGAGTCTGAGCTTCGGCAAAAGACAA